CGCATACTGCTCATGGCCATTATAAAGAACAATTAGCTACTATGAAAATAAAGGGTGGTGAAATTAAATTATACTCAAAAACATGATGGGTACATTATATACTACAACAGATTCTATAATTCGATCAAAGCCTGTATTTGATTGGGTAAGTAAATTATATTATAATTTAATTAAATTAATTAATTATTAATAAGTTATATTTTTATATAAATTTTAGATAATCATTCTGAAGTAATTTCAAATAATAGAGTATATGATTTGCTTCAAAATAAAGAATTTTATTCAAAATGTCGTCAAATATCTTTAATTCTTAAACCAATTAAAGATTTAACAAATACTCTTGAGGCTCAGAATGCAAATTTAGCTGAATGCTTTGTTGGTTTAGTAAAACTTGGTGCAAGTATTAACCAGGTTGATTCTACAAATAGATGGAAGTCTTTAATTATTACCAATTTTAATCTTTGCTTTGAAGAATTTATCAATGATCTATATATATTGGCATATTGGCTTCATCCATTATATCGAGGTAAAATTATTTAATTATTTTTACTTGAATTAAAGTTATCTAATATGCTATAAAAAAATTAATAATATTAGTAATATTTAATAAATAATTTTAATCAAGTCAAAATAGAATTCGCCATTTTTAATAATTTTTTTAATATTTATTTTATAGGGCTTGGATTAAAATGGGAAGCATTAAACAAAATATATGAGACTGCCTCACTTATTTGGTATAATTTGGGCCATACTGAATCATCATGTTTAAGTCTTTTAACTAAATTAAAAGTCTGGAAGTGACAAGAGTCTCCTTATAATCTTACCTATAATCGATCTAAAGAATCACCAATTAAGTGGTGGAAAAGTATTAATGTAGATAATGAAAATGATCAGTTACAGGATCTTGCAACATTTTTGTTTTCAATCGTTCCATCTCAAGCTGTTTGTGAGAGAAACTTTTCAACAATTAAATGGCTTCTTGGTGATAAACATACTCAATTAGACTTGTTACATATTGAATCTATTACAAAAGTTAGATCTTTTTATATTTCAAATATAAAAAAAGAATTGCAAATTTATGGTAAAGATATTTCTGAGAATGAACTAAAAGAAAATTCTAACCACATACAACAAATAGAAAATTTTGAAGATGAAGATATCGAAGAAGATAATAATTTACAAAAAACATTATCTACCAATTTAAGCATTTCTCAAGTTATTGATTTGTCATTACTAGCATTTTTAGCTACAAATAATATTTTGTTTGAATCCACTACAAATAGATTAGCATTTTATGAAAGAGATTGTGATTTAGACAATATGGATTATGATCCAATTAATTTAGCACAACAAATAGTAAATGAAGAAAATAGTGAAATAAGCAATGATAGTTACAATTGAATTATAATACTTTATATATATAATTCAGTAAATTAGTTATAATTATTTTATTAAATTTTATAACTAATAAATCAATTACAATATAATTAGCTCTATAATATACAGGTATTAATAGTTATTTTTTGGTTATTTAGTTAATAACTAATTTAAAAAAAAACTATACAATAAAAACGGTAAGATAAAATTAGAAAGTTGCTATTGCCACTCCATTTTTGCTAATACTATCCTCCAATTTAAAAAATGCTCTGGAAGAGTTATTTTTATTAAGTAAACTCTTTTTTTGATCTTAATAAAAGTTGTTTATCGGGTCTTTCCGGTTCTAATAGTAGTAAAATCATTAAAATTGGACCTGTAGTTTCTTTAAAAAGTAAATAAAAGTTAACTAACTTCAGATATATATATATTGAAAACTACTGGCCTGATTTTAATAATTTTATTATCATTAGAACTGGAAAGACCCGATAAACAACTTTTATTAAGATCAAAAGAAGAGTTTACTTAATAAAAATATCTCTTCCAGTGCACTTTTTTAAATTGGGAGTGGCATTAGCAACTTTCTTATTATATTATTAATATTAATTATTTTAACTATATTACTAATATTACTAGTTTCA